AGGGTCAGGCAAGATGATGCATGAAATCAGCAGACAGGTTACAAGGATTTAAAGAACAAACACTCCTAATTTGATGAGTATGATGCCTTCTCCTCTGTTTTGTTCTCTTATTCCTTCTATCACCATCATCATCTGACCCAAACAACCTCTCTGGAGCATCAGCTGACTGCCAGGTCCTATACTGGAGCAGGAGATGGAAGACAAAGGCCCTTCCCCTTCAGGATCTTAGAATCAACCGAGAGGAGGAAGCTCTGTGTGCTCCATGAGCCACAAGACAAGACGGTATAAATCATTGCTCTCCCAAGCTTTTAAGACCCAATTCAAATCCTATCTCCTTCAGGAAACCTTTCCAGATCCCCCTATTAGAAATTAATCTCCCAGCTCCAATGTCCCCAGGGCCTTTGGCTTGTACCTTTCCTGCAGTACTTACCACTATTTACCTTGTATTAGAGTGATTTATGCACATGTCAGCCTCTCCCACTAGAATGTGAGTTCCTGAGGACAGAATATTTATGAAGGGCCCTTCGGTGACTTTGACTATCTTATGAAGGACCAGTGCAACAGCATCAATACTCTGCCTCACATTTTAAGATAATTGTATGGCAAAATAATTAAAATTGAATATAATGAAAAACATTGTATTTTTACATTTTTATTCTCGTGATCATGATCCCTTTCTCATGTCCATTTTATTGATGCCATGTGGGACGCAGAGAGCTTGCTGTGACCTGCACAAGGTCACACAACTAGTTAACAGACAGGATAAGCCCCAACCTGGTCTGTTTGTGCTCAGCAGTCTCCGGCTGGCATTTCACGGCTGTGGCTGTGTTGCATATTCCAGTCTCATTAAATCACCCTTACTGAGTAATTCCACATTCTGCCGAGCACAAGCAGTTTGGCTTCCTCCTCGTGAGTGTGGTTTAGTAAGTCCCCTCCCTGTTTAGACATAAAATGAAGCCAGATGAAACAAATTGCATCTTTTAACTGCCTTTCTAGACTGGTTGTGACTCCTGCCCCGACGATTTTCAGGTTGGCAGAAACTGGGCTCTATCAATCCCCAACAAAACCGTGTGGCTTCGCAGTGATTAGAGCTGGGTGTGCTTGCATGCTGATCTCTCTGCTCTTCCTCCCTGGGATTTCTCAAGGCCCATGGCAACACTGAAAGGCCTGAATTACCTGTTCTTGAGGCTTGGCGAGTTGGAGTGACCTGTGGACCCAGGACCACACGTAGTCTGGGTTCCAGGCCATGCCTGTTCTCAGGCTAACGACTTTCCATTATACCTACAATGGTTTGTTCTCTAATTGGGAGGGACTGGAAAAACAGGGCCTGACTCTTTTAACTAGCCAATTTTATTTGTAAGATGCTAATTAGAGAAGTGATGTTCTGGGAGAATTAGTCAAAACCTTAGATAATGACCGTGATTCAAAGAATCACTTTTGAGATTAGAACACAATGCTCTCAGTTTGGATATGATTTTTTTTCCTCTCCCAGCTCAAAATGTGAACAGTAATAGGCAAGACTCTCCACTGTGATTTTTCCGCACCATTCCTTCCTGCAGCCACACCTGACCAGTGACTGAAGCTTTCTCCGCCCACCCCCATGTTGATACCTTTGCGTGTGTTCCCACTTGGAATGTTCCTTCTCCACACCTACAACTGGGCTCCATACCCTTCTTCAAGATTCCCCTGAACTGCACATGTGGACTGGCTGAATAGACTTGATGGCTGGTAAGACCAGCCTTTATGCAGCGAACAGTGGGGGAAAGTCAAAAACAACATCCAGCAGTGGGAGTCCAGGTAGGAACGTTGTTGCGGGCCCCGTTTGGTTAAGAAATTGGAACCCCCTTTTCAGCTGATTGACCTTAGGAAAATGACAGCACTTAGGTGAATTGTGGTGAAATGGGGATAAAATGACTCGCAGATCTGTTGTATTGAAGGTTAAATTAAATGAGAGAAACAGATGTGAAGGGAAACATGTGAGTCGCAGAGGAAGCTCTCCACCGAAGGGAGTTGTTACCGGCATGATTGGTGCCTGAACCAGTTTCCACCCTGCTCCTCCTTCTTTTCCTTTCGTATGACTGGGAGCTACAAAAGCCAAATAGTCTCTTTCTCTGCCTCCTTTCCGTGGTGTAGGGTAACTGGAGATTGCTCAGGCTTTTGCACTGTTGACCTCTGTGGCTATCACCTGAGGCCTTGATGCAGCAGGCGCTTGGGATCCTGGGCTCAGGGTACGTGTGCCTGATGTTGGGCACCTGGAGGATGGTGTGGGCGTGCATGAGTGGGGATACCTGAGCCTAGAGTCGGAGCACACAAGGGCAGCATCACAGAGGACAGAGTGTGGCAGAGGACAGTGTGCTGGAGTGCAGAGGGTAGCCGGGGAGGACGGCAGAGCCACGGTTGGTGGAGAGACCATAAGATGACACCAGAGAGAGTAAAGATACGCCGCCCCTGGCCCCCTGGCCTGCCCTGCACCTGGTTGCCTCATTACAAGTGGCGTGGAAAGAGCATTAAAAGCCTGAAAAGGGCCTCCCCTGGTAGAGCAGGCGATTGAGTGCTGTGCTGTCCACAGCTGTCCACAGCTTCTGCAGCGCCGGTTCCATCCCAGCCGGCCAGGAGATACCCACATGGCGCGGCAGACCTCTCCTGTCTCGCCCGCTGCTCCCCTCAGCAGTGTATTTCAGTCAGTCTGTCTGTTCTGTTCCCACTCTGTCTCTGGTGAATCCTCTCACCCTCCCATGCCTCTGGCCTGTACCCTGGTTCTTATATGCATGAATGAATAAATCTTTAAAAAAAAAAAAGCTGAAAAAGCCATTGAGGGCTCCAGGACTTCCCTTTACCCATCCACCTGGATCCATAGAGAACCTGCCCTATGCCTGGCTGCCACTACCCGTGGGGTGACCATGTGGTGGTTTCTGGCCAACAAGATAGGAACACGTCTCCTGTGGAGACCTAAGAAGGTCTTTACTTTGATGAATAAAGAAAGCGACCTAGTCACGTGGCATGTTTCCTTCTAGCCTTGACTCAGGCCTTAAATTCAGTCATGATGACTGAGGCTGGGACAATCAACTCACAATGATGAAGAAAAGGCCATGAGAATTGCAAAGATGCCAGCCCAACTGGGGAGCTAATAGTAAACAGCCATGCCTTCACCCAGACTTCTTGTGAGGAGAATAAACCCACTATGTGTCAATCGTCGTGTTGGACTTCTTGTGAACTTGTGCTTGAATTTAGTCCTTGCTGATAGAAAAGGTATAGAAAAGAGAAGAAAAATGTCAGTAGGTGGTTTTGAGCAGCAACCTCTCATGTTCTTCATGTTCTCCAAACAGGTCCTGTGTTTTCCTTTTGTGTGTGTGTTTTTTTTTTTTTTAAGATTTATTTTTTTTTATTTATACAAGCACTGGGTACAGTCAGAAGCACAGGAGTGTGAGAGAATTCACCAGAGCCAGAGCAGGGAGCAGAGCAGGCAGACTGACGAAGTGCACTGCTGAGGGGAGCAACGGGCGGCAGAAGAGGTCTGCGTGCCCTGTGGGACCCTTGCCCTGTGGCCGGGGAATGAACCGGCGCTGCAGAGGCTGTGGGCAGCTTCGCAACCCAGTGCTCAACCGCTGCACCACCGAAAAGGCCCTCCTTTTGTGCTTTTTCTAGAACCCCCCCATATCTGCTCTCTCTGTCCCCCATCTTTCTGTGTGCAAATCCTTCAAGGCTCAGTCTAGTACCACTTTACTCATGAGCCCCCACCATCCTCCCATGTAGACTGAACCTCTCCTCTATAAATTTGTTTTAAGCACTTTGCTTTTTTCTTTAAAGCAAATTTCAGGTAACTTGTTTGTTATTGGTGTTCATATATTACCTCCTTTAGTGGACACTAAGCTCCTTTACGTATATTTTTTTTTTCTAAAGGAGAGAATACATGAAAAATTACATAGCACAATTTGACAAAAAATGGTATTCTTTTATGCTTACAATGTTTGATCTATTCATTCAACAATTATGCATTAAGTATCAATGTCTTCTATCAGGATTAATAGCATCTGTTCTGTTGACAGTTCGCACTGCATGGACATTTTCCTCTGCTTCTTTATCTCTCAAATAATGGTAGTGATAGAGGTCTTATGGGAGATAATTGAGTCAATAATAGATAAGACATATAGAATAGTGTCTGGCATGTAGAAAACACTCAGAATACTATTATTATTTACCAGACCATCTATTAGCCTCAAGGAATATACTCAACATGTTTTACATAGTAGAACTTCAAGTACTGAACGAATGTCTTACGGCCAACTTGTATATGTGTACCTCTGAAATGCTTAAAAAATCTCCAAATGCCACTAACATAAATTCATATATACTTAAGTATATTAAAGTTTGTGAATAATACACATTAACAAATATGTGTTTCTAAACTGATTTTCTTTGATGATTACACTGAGAATTTCACAACAGCTTTTGAAGTAACTGGAACAGCACTGGCAGATAACACAAAGTGAGAAAGAAATGACTTGGATCAATTAGGCAAATTCATTCCCTTTTAAACTCAACCATTGTTTACACTCTGCCTGCCCTGGTTTTGTACTTGTAGAGACTCCTACCATTGGAGCCTCTTTAGAGAAAGTCAACCATCTCTTGTCCACAGGACCCCCACAGTATGAACCCAACTTATAGCATCAGCTTTGTTTTCAACACCTCAGGTAGAAACAGGGCTCTGCAGTCAGAATATTCAGATCCTTCTGCTGTGGCTTTTTCAGTGTGAAATCCCTCTGGACCTTCCTCAACCATGCACAAAATGGAGGAACGTGAGCATCCCTCATAGTGAGTCATAGTGAAGCTTAATGGAGTTCATCTAAATGAAGTGCATACCATGGTGCTGAGGACATAGTACCTGATTAACAGGTGTGAACTATCATATATGTCACCTGACAGTCATGCCACACTGCACTCTCAACTGGACTTCAGCTTTGCACCTTCATAACATAATCCTTTCTCTTGCTCTTCAGTGGATGAACTTTGGTTGGTCACCAAGACTCACCACAAATGGCAGTCTATTGAGGTATGTGCTGTGACATGATCATGCATTCTCAGGACTGATAATGTTTTGGGGAAAACAAACAGGCAAACTATAGCACTAAAGGCAACAACAGATAACTTGATGAGTGTACCAATTAAAGGACCCCTTTTCCAAGCACCCACAAATTCTACTATTCTGGAATATCTGTGAGAACTATCAAGCACCCTGGGAAGAGCACCCTGCCCTCTGAAATTCAGGTGGGGCATCAGATAGTGCAGTCAGGGAGGGGACATCTGTGTGTTGAGTGGCTGCTATGTATTGACACTGTGAGTGTTTCCTATGTGCATTATACACAGGAGGGAGTGGGTACAGAGAGGTCATATGACTACTTGAGTTTGCACAGCTATAAATATTGGCTCTGAGATGTGAATCCATATCTCTCTGCTGACAGACTTGTATTTCCCTAGGTTTTGTGACAGAGGCCAGAGAACAGCAGAGGTTTACGAGGGTGGAGAGAGAACAAAGAGTTCGGGCAGGTAGGAAAGCCAAATTTTCTACCCTTGCCAGTCTAATTAAGAGCTGATCCTGATGAAAATTCTGCCAAGTGCACATCAATGACAGAGAGAAAAGTGTTTCTGTGTAGGCTTATTTTATTTGAAGAATGGTAATTACAGGATGATGATCATACAGAAGAAGCATTTCACTTGGTACCCAAGAACTTTGATCATTTTATTATCCGGAATCCATACTGAACTATGGGGGTAAGTTGGAAAGCCTGCTTTAGAATCAGTCGTTACTGAATTGGAATTGGGATTCCAACTCATAACTTGTCAGACTTCAGGAAGGTGATTTGACCTCAAGGAGACTGAGTTACCTCATCTGAAAATGGGATTAGTGGTGACATCAACTCAGAGGGCGATGAGAGCCTACTAAGGGAGGGTGCAGCTAAGGTCCATATATATTGTATTGCTCAATAAATGGGGCAGGGTCCAGGGCTTTCTGCTAAGAACTCTGCTGGGCCCACAGGTGTAAACTGGTACCACCTTGAGCAAGCAGGATTGTACGGCCACACCAGGTATGATCTGAGAGAAGGGTCTGACGCAATGGTTCGCAGCTAAAAACATCTGCAAAGATTCTTCCCTTAAGCTTTTCTACTTAAGCACAATTCCAAAGTTCAGTTACATTGTACCTTTTACAATTTTGTGAACATGTAAGACTCACAGGTAGGGATGGCCCAGCCAGGGTCCTGCTAGTCATCAGTTATTCATAGTCTCAAGTCTGACAGACCCGTGAACGTGTAGAGACTTATCAGAACTACAAGAGGGATCTCAGGATAGTCAGGAGAAGAAAACTGCAGAGGATTTCTTTAAAAGGAAGGGGAGGAAGGTATGAGCTCTAATCTATTTAAAAACAAACAAAAACATACCAGCTTCAGATCAGAGATGGGAGGGGACATAATGGGACAGCAGGGAACAAGTTGAAACAGTCCATTTATTTACCACTTTCTGCTAAGGAGTGAAGGGGGAGCCAAAATATCCCAGCAAGATGAGGCCTCCTCAAAATTGCTGAACAAAACGCTGGTGGAAATAGCTGGGGATGAGTAGAAATCCTAGGATTTTGTTCTTCCTGACAAATAGTGGATACTTGATAAATGTTAGATTCATTCCTTTCACTTCCTTTGCGGTAGGATTTGTAAAAAAAAAAAATCTGAGAAGCTGATTTATAGTGGATACACATGGTCTATTTGCTGCTGGGCTGAGCAGAAGCTGATGATTGCTCATGCCTGAAGACCATCCACCTCTCTCTCTCCTTCCCTCCACCTATGCATCTTTCCTCCCTTTTTTCCTTCGTTTTCTCTCTCCCTCCCTCCCTCTCTTCCGCAGATATTTAATTGTGCTAAGCACCGAGGATAAGGGGGTGAATAGACAGGATCACATTTTTCAGGGAACACAGACCCTGAGCAGATAATTAAGCACAGCTATGCTAAGTGCCCTGTGCTCAGTCTGCTCCTCACTCAGGCCCTTGATTTCTTTTTAAATTTATATATGTGTATATTTGTGTGTGTGTGTGTGTGTGTGTGTGTGTATTGCACCACTGTTCATTTTTGTACACTGTATGATTTCTCCTCTCAGGTGTAGTCCCCATAAAAGTCTCACCAAGTCACCCTTGTACCATCACCACAGTCCCTTGTGCTCTTCCCTCTCCTGTTTGATGCCGTTCCTTCCCCTGAAGAATGCCTTTCATTTATAGTTGCCTGATAATTTTTTTAATTATTATTTTTTTTCCTGATCCCTTATTTGGTTCCCCTATATGCCTCCTATAAATGAGACCGTCTGATATTTTAATTTTTCCTTCTGGCTTATTTCACTGAGCATAACCCCGTCTATGTTTACGGCAGCACTATTTACAATAGCTAAGCTTTGGAAACAACCCAAATGCCCAAAAATAGATGACTGGATCAAGAAGATGTGGCACATATACACAATGGAATACTATTCAGCAATCAAAAAAGATGAACTCATGCCATTTGAGGACTTCGATTTTTGATAAAAGTTTGCTGTGTCCATGTGGCCCACAGGAAGAATCTCAGACCATCCCCCACATCTGGCTCTTATTCCTGATTTCCTGGTCAGGGTGGAAGTTATCCCCAACTCTCTAGCCTTGTCTTGTACTACACCACAGTGCTTGGTTTAGTATTGGGGGTGATACTGGGTACGCCTGTGATACGTGTTTTCACAGAGACCTACAGAAAGCTCACTGGGAGGTGTGTGTTCTTGTTAGGGGAAAGGATGTCCTGATCTAAATCCATACAGGCTTTGTGGACTCCACCCCGACTTCAGACCAAAGCCATCAAGACAAGATGATGGTCCCATCACCACCAAAGGGAGGGTTGCAGGGACCTGAGGATGGAGTTAAGCAGCCAGGGTTGGTATAAAATCAGACACGTGGGCCGTGGGTCTCTCTCTTGGCTTCACAACTCTCTTGGCTCTCAACCAGCTCTCAGCTGCCATTGGGATTCCAGGTTGGCGGATTGGGTAGGACACATTTAAGACTTTATCTCCCTCTTTTCTCCCCGAGCTGTACATTTCCTCATCTCCCCTTCCCTTGTAAATAAACCTTTTATTAACCTTTTGTGTGTGCCTGCAGTGGAGTATTAATAAGTCCCTTTTAAACGCGCGGGTGAGGACCCACAGTCAGGCAACCCGTTTTATATCGGGGCTGCCCTGTAACATTCTGACCATTAACTTCCAGGTTGCATCAGAGATGAGTGTGTGTCTATGAGGGAAGAGAGGCGGGGATGAAGGGATCTCTGAGTTGAAAAGCAATCATAGTTCTAGAAAGTTCATCCTGGGTGAAGGAATGTATCCCTCCCCTCCCCTCCCTGGACACCCCCCTCTCCTGCCTTGTCTTCATCATCTACAGTAACAAACTGAACCAAAATACAGTAGGAGAATCCAGATCTTTGTTCTACCTGCTTTATCAGAACAGCAAAGATCTATTTACTAAGCATCTTCTGCAACAAGAAAAAAACAAGAAAACAGCAGCTCTGCAGCAGTAATCTCCACCCAGACACTCCACTCCCCACCCCTCCTTATCTATCATCTATTTACCCATTTGAATAATGGGAGGAAAAACCAGCTTCCTAATCAATCTCATTTTCCCTGAGTGTTTGGAGTTAAAAATCATTTGCATTTTGACAATGGTCCAGCGGTCCCTTTTCCCATCCATCAATTTGAATGGTAAATTGACTGCCCTGGTTCCATCTGATCTTTAATTGAATAACTGCATGTCATCAACACAAATTTGCAGTTTGGCCTAGAGCTTATGGCGGTGGTGGTGGTGGGGGGGGGCAATTTGCTTTTTGCTTCTTTACTAAAGTGTTTTCAATTTTAAATTTATATTATGTCCACAGTGTGTGTGTGAGGGGGGAATGGGTAGGAGGGAGGGAGGAGGGATCTAGGTGACTAGGGGGGAGGGGAAGAAGTAGAAGTGACTGTATTAGACTACAGACAAGCGCAGCACTAATTAAAATGGGAAAATAAAATTCTTTCACTTGGGGCCACAGGCAATGAATGTTCCTTGAAAAAAAAGTGAAGGCCCTAATACTTAGAGATTTGCAACTGGATAATAACTTAGCAAAATGTGACTGACAGTTACCAGATTATCTCCTTAATCACACCTTTATTTCTATTAAGCAGGGCTGATGCTCCCAGCGGGTTTCAAACATGTGTTAACACTGAGCATCCCATGGAAGAATCAAAGAGCTGTAGAAATGGGAGCTTTGTGGAGGGACTTTGCAAATGGAAACATTCCAAGAGGGCCAGAAAAACCAGTGTGGAGCAATACACCCTGTTCTGGCTTAAACAAATGCCTTGCCCCTACCAGCACAGAATGTTAGGGACTGTACAGAAAGATGGTAGGAAATTATGGGAATGCAGGCCAGTCAGTAAACCCTGGAGTTTTATTTTATTTTTTTTTTTGATTCAATGAAATCTTCAGTTTCTATGAGTTGGTTGTTTCAAAGGACTAATTCCCATAAAACACAATTAGCTTTTATATGACAGTTTGTTATGATTGTTCTTTTTCTTTCCATCCAAACATCTTACCACTTTGAAGAGTAATCCTGGCAGTCAACCCTCAGAAAAAAATGAGGATGATCAAGTCTCTCTCTTTGGGGCTTAAAATTGAGCCCCATACAAGGTCCAAGGTACCCTAGTAGTCACAGGAACCTCATCCTAGGAGCTTGTACTCCTGCAGGGTACTAGGGGAGCAGCGGGTGAGACCGGAGAGGGCTGACCCATATGTGGGTCAGCTCAGGGGCCGGGGATCAAACTCAGGCGTTGTAGCTGAGACTTAACCCCTAGGCCCCAGGGAGTTAACATACCGAATGTATGTTAATAATACCTAGTAACATAGCATATGTATGTTAAGTCAGTCAGTGCTGTCACCTGCCTACTAGGTTAGGTATTATTTTCCCATGTTGGGGATGAGAAAACTCAGCCGAGAGAGATTTGTCAACTTTCTCAAGGAACCATATTTAGAAAATCAGAGTCAGAACTTGCACTCAGCCCCTCCATCATCACCCAGCTGTTTGGAGCACAGGAAGCACACGGGAACTGTTGGGAGGTTTTCCTCCTAAATCTCACTGTAAAGGATCCACACTCTGGTACCCACCCCCTGCTGGCCTTAAGTTACATTTGCATGATGGGGGCTCTGCAGTAGATTGGAGGGAGAAGATGATGAGGTGTGTTTGTTGCATAACTGCCTCCCTGCCAGATTGCTGCCAGGTCCTGACAAGTGACCACCTTCTACTTATCTCTCCCTGCTCCAGTCCACTCACCCAACACTTCCCATAAGGTTTCCATGGAAGAAATCGGGAATGTAGTCAGGGCCGTGGGGGAGCCTCAGCCTTGATAACATCCTGGAAAACAAGGAATTCCACAGGTTGACCCACCCCTGGAACATACACCTGTGTTGATCAACATTAGTACAGTTTGCCTCCCAAGAACCAGATGTCATCTGGCCAAGGACACCC